GTATAACCCCAACGCACACCTTGAAAGATAAAAGTACTGTAAGCGCGCCGAATGCTTCCAATTACCGCCTCTATCAGGATGCAGCTCGTAGTTCCTAAAGTGGAAATGAAACGGCTCCTTGCGGACGATTTATGTACGTCGAAAACAACCTCGTGATTGTTAGCGAAACTGCAAACATGGGGGGAAAAAAACCTCTAGCCGCTCGGCCCCCCCCGGTTGATTAATTATTTCAATCTTTACTTTTAGCGCCTTGTCAATAACCCAAGTTCTCCCAAAAACGTACAACATATGTGATTAAACAGTGATTAATCTGATTTCATTTTGGTCTCCTGGCCTCGTACGGAAAATGCTGCAGCAGTTCTGCTGACGGGAGTTGTTAATCACGAGCGCGAGCTACCAAATGTGTTCAATTTCCCTCCCTTTATTTATTATCACAATGGTAATTCACTCCACTGCGAAACAAATGAGGGTGCAGCTGAGAGTTGCAAGCAGCTTGAGAACATCAGAATACTTTTGTTTATTGTGTCTGAATCCTCCGGATCAGTGTGAGAACCGTTTTTGGAGATACCTCGGCGTTGATGTCATGACTTTCGCGGGCCACTGTCGACGAGCCCGCAGAGCAGCTGTAAATTACATTTCTGGGCTAAGTAGGAATGCATTCAAAAGGCCAGAAAACTTTGTAACACATCATTAATTTTAAATGCACTGCCTGGAGTCACATCAGCTGCCTGCACTGGAGTTACAGGCGAGCATCATGACACTCCCTCTCTACTGGATGGGTTTGGTGACGGTGCCCTCTGTTCACCAGACCCGGCCTCTGTTTTGCAAATTTGTCGCAATTTTTGTGAGCGATGCCGGATTTAATCAGTGGTGTAAATCAGGGAGGATCCAGATTTATACAGTTCAAAATGTCAAAGAAGTCTCGTCCTGCACCCTCTATAATAACCAAGGACGTATACTGTATACATACTGCGGCACCAGAACAATTCTGACGTCTTAAAGGACGGCTAAATTATGATCTCTTGAGCACTTTGTTACAGAATACATCGCAATTTCACAGGAGTTGCTTTTTAGTTCGCATGGATTGTCACATCCAATTACTATATTCAACACGCATCCATGCTCCCAGGCTTGCTTCTGGCTATTGTGTTTGATCAGGTATACTTTTGACTCACTGTAGAATCAACTAATTGTCTGCTCGACCTTGAACAGGCTGGAGGGAGCTTGGACAGGAGCTACCTTGTACAATTAATTCATTTCCCCCTCCTCCCTGTCTTTCTCCATTTGAATGAGCAGCGCAGTTTTTCACAATAAACTAGTCTCTCGTTCCTTGATAGTTGTTGATAGCTGCTGCTTTTAGAACAGATGAGCGGTTACGACTTTCAGCCTTTCTTCTGTTGCTGAAACGCGTGCGTCGATCTGCACATTCGTTCCATCTTTGGGTTGACTACTTTTGCCGAAACACACAAACTACATGCTTATGTGGATGATCGCAGACACTTTGGTGCACAATTTGTGTCAACCAATACATCAATGGCTGATAATCAGTGTACCGGGGGGAAAAAAAGCCAAAATCGTCTGATTTCAGCGTCTTTAATTTGAACATTTTCTGTTTTTTGTTACTCCTCTGTGACAGTAAACGAATTATCTTTGGGTTATAGACAAAACAGGGCATTTGAGGACATCATCTTGGGCTTTGGGACAAAACAATTGAAATGTTTCTGGCATTTTCTAGGCAAAACAACTAATCAATTAATCAAGAGAAAAAAAAAAACTAACAAATTACTTGATAATGAAAATGTTGAGAAATGAACAGATTTAATTTGGTAAACCCGAGCTCAGAAAGCTAATAGCACTCAAAACTATCACATTAAAGTCCCAAAACAGCAGCTTTTATAACCACATGGAGACACCAACAGTTGCAAAACAAGCAAAAACAGAGATATTTGTGTAGTTTCTACATGTTTTATCCTCAAATTGCTCCGTCCTTCAGTTTAAACTTTAATTATGATGTGAAATAAATATGGCTGCTGGGACTGAGGTGAATTGACTAAGTGGTTGTTGTTTTAATGAGCAGCAATTTCGTGCCAACAACAAGCACAACACAAAGCCAGACACCTACAAACTTTTAACAAGAGGGAAGCCAGAGCATCTCTCATTACCTTAATGGACCCTAACAGGGATAAAGATAACATATGTAATGTTAAAACATGAACCGTAAGGATGCACACGCCGAGATGGCTTGTATATCTGGCAGTGCGTGCATGCCAAGAAAACGACTGGCTTTAAAGTGAGCGCGTGCACTATATAGGATTAGAAGTCATTAAACCGATTGAGAGAGCCTGCAGAGAAAGTGGCTGCACGGCTGGTCATTTTCAAACATGCGACGAACGCCGCCGCCGCCGCTCCCGTCGGTTCAGGCAGGGACACGGAGTTGCATCGGAAAGTTTTTTGCAGTTCAGTGTGAAGTCACTCATTTGTAATACAGTCTATTTCTGAGAAGATTTATCCATGGAGGTGGTTTCTCATGCCAGATACCCAAAAGCATTGTTGGAAGGCAGCCATAATTGTCGTTTGGCTGTGTGCAGGCTATGGCATCTCAAAGCTGTTTCCAGACTGATGTCGCCTCATGAAAATTTAATGAAGAAATAGTTTCCAAAAAGGTGCTGTTTACGAAAGCAACAGAAGACACTAATTAGCCATATCACAGCGGGGAAAGGAAAAAAAACTTAAAGGTGCACGTAGACCTCATTGGCATTCAGACCAAGCGGCTCTTGTTTTGCAGGTTAACACTTAGCTAACATTGCGGCGAGGCGTTTTGCATATGGGGATCTTATGGCGTCCTGCGAGTCTGCAGCCTCGCCGAGATCATCGCTCGCTGGAAGCCAAAAATACTTCCTGCTTCAGACAAAAAGCTGCTCGGGGGCTTTGATTTTCTTTTGTTTTGCTAAAAGAACATGTTTGGAGCAAAGTGCAATGTGACTTATCTTCTTTCACATCTCAAACGGCAGCAAGATGTAGCCCGCCCTTGTTCAGTCAGAAAGCTGAGACACAGGCAGGAACAAGACAGCTTCTACAACACAGCAAAGCCACCTGCCATCATCAAAGCGCTTCAAAGCTCCACCTCGCCTCGGTACACGTGTAGCCGGTGTAACCATGTTCCCTCCTTTCTGTCACCAAAGAAAGAGTTTGACATTTCAGAAAATATGTTTGCTTTCTTGCAGAGAATCAGACGGTAAAAATTAACACCAGTCTCGTCTTATCTTACTAATAAATGTAGCACAGGAGGTGATTAGCTTAGCTTAGCATGAAGGCTCCTGGAAAGAGACAACAGCTTGAATGAATTGCTTTAGTTGGAAACATGCAATTGAATTAAGTTTATCCGATTAAGTAAAGTGATATTATAGCCACTGGTGCAAGTTAGATTTACTACAACGATTCGATGACTCTCAGATGAACAGTTTGCATTGATGCAACTTCACTTAGACAACAATCAATTTGAACTTGCACGTGTAAAACATGATTTTGTCAGCGGACTTATTGCTCGTACAGTTTCTTTATTCTGTAATCCGATGAAAAAACTGCGGTTGAGTAGCAGCAGAAAAAAATTTAGAAGCATTGACATCATGACGTAGACAGATGTGCAATGCTAAAGGAGCAGAGCACCAAAAAATAAACCTAATTCTTGCACTTTGAAGCTGATAGATTCCACAAAAGTGACCACCAGCACCAAAGCAGAAACATAAATAAGATTCATTCCAGGACTTCAACTGTTTTAACTTGATATTATTTCAGAAAATGCATTTATTTGGTTTCTTGTAGGTGCTAGCTTAGCTTAGCTTAGCATACAGACTCCAGAATATGCAATGAAACCCACTCCAGCTTTGCCCAAGGGGAGTTAAATTTATCCAGCAGCAACACATGCAGGTTATGTTTGAGGTAAAATATCAGTGCTTAACAGTGGAGCTCAAACAGTGTAAATGGATTGTTGTAAAAGCTTTTTAGAGTGATTATAATCCTCAAACAGAAACTGATTAAAACACTAAAACCTTGTATAAGATGTGCAGTCAGCCTAGTTATCAGTTTAGCTTTTCATTTGCTCCCAAAACTATTTAACACTGTCAAGGTTGCAGCTGAAAGAATAAAGCGATTGATGATGAGATCACTGAATTCATCATTCACATCAGAATAGTTTTAACTCTTGATTATTTATTCTTTAAATAATTTGTCCTATTTTATTTTATTTTTTGTGACGAGTCGCATTAAATGACTGCATCTGTAATTTTGTGATGCACGATGATAATTAAATCTGCAGCTGTGTCACTTTTTATCCTCTATTGTATTTGAAAACTCCTCGTATTGATTTAGGATTGTAGTTTGTTCTGATAGTGAGAAACGCTGCCAAAAAATATGATGACAAATCTGTCCTTTTAATGTCAAAGTGCTTCCAGCCAGGTTCAGAAACTCTGGATTGACTTAACCGGCGGATAAATAGCTTTTAATGCGACGACTGTTAGGTTTAATAAAGCCAGATCTTAAAACAATATCCTGACTTTGCTGAACTTGCTTCGTGATATAGGTTTGTTTAATCCAAACTAGCTGTCCTAGCTGGAGTGGTGCTAATTATCTCGTTTCTCTCTCTGCAACAAAAAAAAATCCAATCCACATATTTCTCTACATAAACTATAACTTCAACGAGTTGCCAAAACCATCCCTTGCAGTGTTTCTTTCATCGTCACTTTTCTGTTAATTTTATGTCCTCGTCTCTACCAAACGTTGCAGAAAAAATCATTTTCTAAATGCCACCGGTGCAGAAACAGTTATTACTGGGAGACACAATCACTTGCAGACACGTCTTATTCTCTCTGTCCTCTCTGCTTCAGCTGTCACTCATTCTGTTGCTCTGCAGTCCACCGGCTCTCCTCCCCTCACTAGCACAAGGTTTGACGCTGACCGCCGACACGCTCGGTCTGATCTGTGCTACAAATGTGTATTTCCAGAGGACCAGCTGCCCCCTGGTTTCCCCACCATAGACATGGGCCCACAGTTGAAAGTGGTGGAGCGAACACGCACTGCCACCATGCTCTGTGCTGCCAGCGGCAACCCCGACCCAGACATCTCCTGGTTCAAAGACTTCCTCCCCGTCAACACCACCAACAACAATGGACGCATTAAGCAGCTCAGATCAGGTAGGTTTCCTCTGCTGAAAACCTAATTACCAAACAGGGAGTTCTTTCTTTCTTGTTTTTTTTTTGTTTTTTTTTCTTCTATCTGATCTGCTCCCCCTGTTGTATCCTCTGTTCTCTCATCCTCTTCTTCCTCCCATAATTTAACTTCTCATTTGGCTTTTAATTTTGTAGGTAATGGCATTGTTTCTACTCTTCCCGTCCTCTACTCTGTGTACGCCCCGGTGTGTGTTGTCTGTTTGTGCGTCTCCCTTTGTCTTCTAGTGTTGTCATGGGCTGTTGGGATTGTTGCCCCCCTTTCTGTGTTTGCTGGCTTCTGCCCTAACTTTCTGCCCTCATTGCTCACTGCTGTGACTTTTTACGATGAATTCTTTTTTGCCGTTTTGTGTTTTCCTTTCCACTGCATTGGTGCAGAATTTATTCTTTTTTTTTTAAAGAACCATTTACTTCATTCCTATGTCTTTTTTTTTTTCCTCCTTTATTTAAAAAAAAAACAATTAATATTCAACATTCGGCTTCATTCAGAACCTGCAAAAGGAAAGTGCACACGATTTTAAAAATAGGAAAACGTGCAGCAAAGCAAATTAATTATTGTGCATTTGTTGGATTTTTAATTTCTAAACCTTTGAATGGATATTTGCCTTCCTTTAGGTTAAAGAATAAAAAAAAAAACCACTTTTTGGACACTAATCAGCCACAGTAGTGCGTAAAACTGCATAAAGCTTCTCCCTTTACCCACTGGTTCTTTGGCGTCCCTGCTTTAATGTCTCGATGCCAGTTTTGCTTTGATTTGCCTGTGACATATCCTAATATCCAGCACCCCAAGTTTCATTTTATTATTCCAATAGAGAAGTTATTATATTTATTTAAAAAGCAAAATGTTGCAGCTTCCTGTGCCAGCTAACGACGACACACTAGCACCAGTTAAATCTGCAGTCTTGTATGTCTGACCACCTGTCTTCACAGATTTCACAGCTGTCCTTTGTTAAGCCATCGTGTTAACCTTACTTCCTTGCTGACTTGTTTTCAACAGAACTGTGTAGAGCTATAACCCGTATTTCTAACCACTTTTGATTCACGTAGAGTTGATAAAGCATTAACGAAACCTTGTTAACTAAACTTACCTAAAGAATATAATCATATTCTTATGCTGTCTCTCTTCTCTCTATATTTTTAAATCTACAGAATCCTTTGGTAAGTGCTTAGCTCTAAAGCACACATCACCCCCACTAATTTTCCATGTTCCAACAACTATTAAAATGCATGGCATGCATTTTACTAACAGATAGTTTAGCGTGAGGGCTACTACTAGAGGCACACACACTCTCCCCTTCACCCCACGGTGTCCAAGTGTCCCACCACTGCCAGCCAGAGCTGATCTGCAGATTAGAATCACCAACCTGAGCTTAGTTCTGTCATATACTGACCTGGGTAATGACCTGTCCTCACATGTTTGTTACTCACTCACTGACCCACCACTTACTCACTTACTTAATCTTTTAACACCAGCACCTTAGGTATGGAAATGTCCAAGAGCTTTGTTAGGGAGGTGACCAGCTCTGCTTAGCTCAGGTCAAGCAAAGGGACCACAAAGTTTTTGTTTCTATCTCTTCTCTCTCTCTCTTTCTTTTTTTTTTTTTTCTCTGCTCTCAATCTCACACACAAAGTCCTGAAAGTCTTTTCCTTCAGTAGATGCTCTTCAGAAGCCATTTGCCACTTCCAAAAATGGCACCTCCCCGTGGTACACCAATGTACAAGTTCTTCTCTCTGACCTATGATTTTTCTATGATGAATCCTGTCTTTCTTTGCCAGTAGAGTACAGAAAAAAGTTCTTATTCTCTTTCTCTCTCCTTTCTCTCTCCTGTAGTACCTTTATTTACGTACCCTGTTAAATCTAATTTGATTCTTCTTCCAAAGCCCCCAGCCTCTATCTACTCGTACTAATGCTTCTTCTTTCTAATCTTATTTGCATTCATATTATCCACCCAGGTGGTACACCAATAAGAGGTAAGAGTGCTGAACTGACGTTCACAGAATGAAAATAATACAAATTCATTCTTGCTGTCAACCCATCCATTCACTCGAGTCACCTCCATTTTTGTCCTGTTTACCAAGACCAAATCCCATTATGTTCATATGGACCTTCCTTCTTATTTGTCCTGTTTCGTTGACTAAATTCGTATTCCATCTTTTTTGTCTATGCTTTATTTCCTCCTTTGTATTCTTGTTTCAAGAGCCTGTTTAGCTCAGTTGTGATATGCTTGCCCTGGCTCAAATAAGCATATCCAATGACAATTATTTTTTAAACTATACTTTTACGTTCATTTTTGTTTTCTTTTTGGCCATAGCGAATCATGTGTCCCTCTTTTTGTCCAACTAAAACAACCAAGCATTTTTCCCCCTTAGCTGTTCTTGTTCAGCACTAAAAAAAAAAAAAAAAAAAAAAAAAAAAAAGAAATGCACAGATGCTGTGGAATCACGCAGGCATGCTGAAGACAACATTCCCTCTCCTCTGCTTTTTTCTCCCAAAGAGTTCTTTCTATCTTTGCAAACTATTTTTTTTTCCATTTCTTCTATTTGCTTTCCTCTCCTGTACCTCTACAAAAAAGCCCAAACAACCACTTTTTTGATAAAGTTTCTACGGTGCTTTTTTTCTCTTTCACCTATTTTTCTTACTTTTCTTGGGTTTGGAGACTATTTTACTTTTTGACTTTTTTTCTTCAGGGTTTGGGGAAGGCAAACAAGTAGAGTCTGGCGAGGACCCGATTGGCTCATTTTTGCCGTGTGACATGGAGCTGAGGAGTTGTTGATGCATAAAGCCATTTTTCCCTGGGTCATGTGACACCACACTGCTGATCCCATTGGTGGATTTTTATGGGTGTCTTTTGTAGCTTTGACAAAGCTAAAGCAGTGGTTGGTTACCTTCTTGTCGGCTCAGGCCGGTATTTTGAATTTTGTCTTCTAATACAATTGCATTTTATTTTTCAGCTAAGGGTTGTCAGAAGGTTGTAAGTTGTGTCGACATACATTTCTTGCTAAGATTTGCATGTCAAAACTTTTGTTCCAGAGGGTTATGTGTTGGTTTTGCCTTACATAATACTTCAATTAAATTTTTTCCAGATATCTGAGCAGCATTTTTCTATTTTTTGTATGCGCTGCATTTTTTTTTAACAAAAGCCACTTCACTTAGATGAAGTCCCAAATTATCCTGTAGGCTTGACTATTACACCCGATCTGTGATTGAATATGCTAAAATTCATACCTAAATTTCTTTCTTTCAATTGTCTTCCCTTGTTATGCTGCTTTCTTATACTGTAAACCTCTTTTGTTTGATCCATGTTTCCCTGAAGCGGTATCACTCATCCCCATATTGACCAGTCCAGTGACATGTTGTATATTGACGGGCTTGCCCCTATTCTTTAAAGTGAAATTATGACTTTTTTTTTTTTTTTTCATTGGCGCTAGGATGAGTGTCCTTTTAGACCCTATAAGTAATCAGGCTTTTTCTCTAAAGAGGTCGTCAACAAGGTAAAAGGTATTAGAGACAGAAGAGAAACTTAGGTCTTTTGGATTTGGTTGACAATGTGTTATTTTCTGTTCCCGTGTGGCTGCTTTAGGCCTGTTAAGGGAAACAACATATATTTGTATTGCCATGTTTTTGCATGATGCAGCTATCCCCTCACCTATCGTAGGATTACACAGTTGACCTCAGCCAGCGGATCGGGCTGTGATAATGATTGGGGGATAAACTATAAAGTAGAGCTAATGGCAGAATGTAGTATTTCACTCATGCAGTTTATTGTTTAATTACAACCGTCCTGAAACGACTTAAGCTTGACAGGACAAAGCAAATCTAGAAGTGGAAGTTGGGGGGAAGGGGGGCTGATGTTGGCCTCCTTGAGGCCAAACAAGCTCGTTGCATTTTTTTATTTATGCTTGTGAACTCCGTGCCAGCAGCATAACTTTAACCAAACATACTCCGCCACCCCCCGTTTGCTATTCCCAACCAGGAGCCCTCCAGATAGAGCAGAGCGAAGAGTCCGACCAGGGGAAGTACGAGTGCGTGGCCACCAACAACGATGGAACCCGCTACTCTGCGCCGGCCAACCTTTATGTCAGAGGTAGGGGATGCGCGTTGACGTCGCCGGCATGCTTCTGTCAAACATTATGTTGAATTTCTCTTTAAAAAAAATTCATGAGGAATCTTTAAAATCAGCCAATAAAAGTCTGCAGGGGCCATATCCTGTGAGGCCACTGTAAGTATGCTTTACTTTTTGGTTCTTTTTTTTTTTTTTGCACTGGACTTACCTGCACTGATTTGAACCTACAGTTTATGCTCTGTCATGTCTTTCTGGTCCTTTCTGTGGATTATCCTGACTCTAACACCGATGGCTAGACTGCTTGCTGTGTTTATCTACTAATTGCTTTAAAAACCTGACTGTTGGAGGTAGACGTCCCGCCTACGTTAGTCCCGACTCTTTCCCCAGCAGTGAACAGATCCTTTCTCTCCCTAATTATCAACATTGGAAGGACGCCTTTAATCGTATTAATTTAGCTATTGACAATGAAAGTGTAAACCTATTTTTAGCACATCAAGAGTTAAAACCTTTACATAACTTTTTCTAGATTTGGTATTTTGTTAGCTTAAATTAGCGAAATTAGCTCATAAAAATCACAGCTTTTGGTTGCTACACAGTGTTTATACGACTTTAGCAAATGCAGTATAATTAGCTGCTTTTTCTTTTTTTGCACACAGCTTTCACTTTTTTTAAAGTAAAACTATTTATTGCATTGCTGTAACTGTATATACTGCTTCCTACTTGTTTTTTTTCTCCAGTATTATTAAAAGTATTGTTTTAAATTCTCTATAAATACATGTGTGTAGCTGATAAGATATATTTCTATCTATTGTTCATGTATTTTTTTTATTTAAATTTCACAATGCTCTTCAGTCCTATGGTTAGCTTTTAGTAAAACTATTATAAAATCCCAAAGTAACATAATACAATATGCAATAAAGCAAAACAAAGGACTCGATTTTAATAAAATCACGATAAGCTAACCACATGGCTTGGGCAGAAAATGTGTTAAAAGTTAAATTTTCCTTCTTGTTTAAAATGCCTGGGTGCCAGGGAGATACCAGGGGCTCCCTGCACCGCACAGACAGAAGGTCCTTCGAATTGTTTAAGTAGCATTTGAACACCTAAAACATGGCCTTTTTACTCTCTGTGTTTCCCTTGTTTTTCTCCTTTCCTTATTGCATTTTGTTCTGCATCAATTTCCCTACATCCCTCAGAGCTGCGAGAAGGTTGGTGTGTCTTTACTTTTTGAACACAACACAAAACAGAAGCTCTTTTTTTTCTTTGCCACAAAAAAAAAACAAAAAAAAATGACATCTTGACATTGCAATTAAAACACAAGTGCATTACCATGTCCTATTTTTTTTTTTTTTTATTCGACCCATTATATTTCTTTTTTTTTACTTCGGTCATTTTCTTTCTCTGTCGCACATTTAATGTTCATGTTCCCATCGAGAATGCCCCCCGGTCCTTGTCAGAATGCTTGACTGTCCAACAGGTGGTGCATGTTTGCATCTTGGAGGTGGGGCGGTCGGGATGATATTTGCATCTGTCCCGCGGTCGATTTGCATGGTCACGTGTCCTCCCTGTTCCCCCCTCTCCCAGCCCTGTCAGTGTTCCTGCTTGGTTTCCTCTGATGACTAACAGCACAGCAGATCAATAGGGAAGGAAAATGCGCCTAATTAAGTCATTTCTTTGCTTAAAAACACACAACATCAGCAGGAACCATGTTCTCGATTTATGTGGGCTCCTGGAACCAGCTGCTTCGTATATGGGTGCTGAATCTCCCGCTTCATATCGCCATTTAAGCTCCACGACGCTCAAATTTTCCCCGTGGCGCTCTCTCTCCAACTGAAGTTCCTCGTAGATAAAAAAAAAATATGTTAAAGCAAAATCCATCCTTTGTCGTAATTGGCACTAAAGTCGAGCGTCAAGCTGTAAAAACAATCTTGCCCTCAGAGATTATGCACTTCCTCGGATGAGGATGTTTCTGCACAGGAAGTCATGAAAAAATGATGCATTTAGAGCGTTATCCACAAGACTTGACAAATGTAATGATATTCAAATGAGCAGGATAATATTATGTCTGTGGGGAGCGTGATCCAATTGGATATTAATTAAATATTGAGCGAAAGAAACGTTGTATTTAATAATGCAAGCAGTTCCCCTAGATTTCCTCTCTGGAGAGCCGCAGTCTGCTCGACAGAATGGGCTTTATGAATTAGTAGCAGCCAGCAGGAAGGGCAAGACTGTGTCGCGCTCACATATAGCAAACACTCGCACAAATAGCACAGGAAAATATGGCGTTTACAACTGGGGTAAACTCATAAATACAAGTATCCGGATGTTTAGAAGTGACAGTTTTCTTCAAGGTTCACTACTGATTGTCCTCTCAGCCAAGCTAACAGTGATCTACTTTAAATGCCGTGAGCAGTAACACTGACTTAACTTTTAATTTGAATCCTAACAGCACCTGGTCGTCACTTCCTGACTTCGTTATCATCTAAATATCATCCTCGTCGATAAAAAATCTAAGATGTTCGCCCTTTGTCCTGCTCCTTCTTCTCCCGAGACCCTTTAGCCACATTTACAGCAGTGGAACACTAACCCGCCCATTTGCGCCGTGCGATACCAACGTCTTCCCTCCGACCCCGCTACTACTTATTTTGCCCCCTGCGGCCCCCCGTTTCCACCCTGATTCCTTCGCACGGTTGCCTCCCAAAGTCACGTATTGTTCTCGTATGCATGACGGACTCCTGCTCCCCTTCAAAAGGCCTTGAAGCCGTCCATGTGCGCCGTGGATGTTGTACGTTTTGAGTTCACTTTGAAGCAGAGCGCTTTACTTTGATATTTATGACCTTTCTTTTGTTTGTTTTTTTGAGAATATTTTTAGAATGTGCATCCGCTAAAGCTGTCAAATGATATGCACGGTGACAAAACGTTACATGATAAAAACCACACATCTTGTTGCACCATCTGCACTTTTCTGCATCTTTTTAACAGGCTAGAACATTGCTATTGTAATTATATGCATGTGTAGTGAAAAATAATAATAAAAAAAGTCATTCTTTGTCTTGTCTCCTTATGAGATTCCTAGAAATCTCGGCACACAATCGTCAGCCTCTCCATCTGACTGATCTCTCTCAGTCCTTTCTATTAAACTGCACTTAGAGGCATGCACTCCCATTGAAATACTTTGAATAAGCATCAGTTCGTTTTGATTTATTTAGAGCGTGGATTGATTTGCAGAAGGTATTGTGGTGAAACACAGTAAAAGCTTGAAGCGCCGTCGTCTTGCATGAAGCTCAATCGTCCCTGAATTCACCAGCATAAAGAAACCACGCATAACATACTTCTGTCCTCAGAGCCGTCCGGCACAGTTTTAAAAAAAGGTTTACCTTTCTTATCCATGTTCACAGACTTGTTTGCATTAAAAGCAGACTAGAACAAAGCTTCTAATCTCTGTGCACGAAAGGTCAGCGTCGGTGTCAAGTTGATCAAAAGTGCGACTGCGTAACATTTGACAGCCTTAGTTTTCTGTTTTATTTGGATTGAGCCTGAACAGCGCAGAACAACACCATCCCTCCTCCCCTCTTTCTGTTGACTCCTCGGCTGTTTTTTATCTATATGTCTGTGTGATGTGAGGATGTGACGCGCCACATTATCTCACATCAGCTGGAAGTGCGCAGCCTGAAAAGTTGTTTCTTTGCATACAACTGTGGAGTGCTGTTGACTCTCCAGCACCTTGTGCAGTTGTGTGTATATCCGTACCGATGGTGACGCAGTATTTTTGTGCATGGTGCTCGTGTCGGTGTCAACCCATCCACCACTAAACCTCGGATCGAATGTGTCGAAATGTTGTTTTCTTAACCTGTGTCACAAACTACCCAGACAGAAACTGATTTCATTTTTATGCTACGATTTAACATTCTGTTCCCATAAATAATGTATAAACACGAAAGCATCATTTGAGGGACAATACAGACCATTTTTCTCTAAAGATTTTTTTTTGAGCTGTTCCATTTTCTGCTCGGTTTTCACACCGCGTTTTGTCTGTTTCAGTGCGCCGGGTGCCACCGCGATTCTCCATTCCACCTACAGACAATGAGATCATGCCGGGCGGCAGCGTCAATATCACATGTGTGGCAGTGGGTTCTCCCATGCCATATGTCAAGTGGATGCTGGGTGCTGAGGATCTTACGCCAGAGGACGACATGCCCATTGGACGGAACGTCTTGGAGCTCACTGACGTCCGGCAATCGGCCAACTACACCTGTGTGGCCATGTCAACACTCGGGGTGATAGAGGCTGTGGCTCAGATAACGGTGAAGGGTAAACATGCTTCTTATTCTGCTTACTCTGAGTTAAAGACGGAGGAGGAAAGCAAGAGGCCGGCTTCTTAATAGCTGGACGTTTCTCTGCGTTTCAGATTCTCCATTTCAGGTCGCAGCTCATATTTGTTATTAGCAGCCTACCCAAGCAGAGACAAGCGGCGGCGCTTTAAAGAAACTTATTTACCTCTCGCTGTCATGATAAGTCATCTGCAGAGGATTCTTTAAAGCTTTAGACAAGCCCTGGCACCAGCCTCAGTGCATTAGATTCCAGATTGAGAATATAGTGAAGTGCTTATCTCTCAGCTGGAGAGCCGCAGAGCCACCAGCTCACCATTTCTGTTAGCAAGACGCAGGGAGGCGGGTGGAACGTAGTGAGCATTGTTTGGTGTCCTCTGTAGACATGGTACTTATCTGAGTGTAATCATATCTACACTGCGGCATACTAGAAAGATATCCCAGATTGGTGTCGCCAGACTCACACACACACACACACTCACCGGCTTTGTTTTTCCAAGACATAACATAGAGATATTAGTCACAATATAACAGTGTGGCAGGAGCTCCCCCAGAAGCATACTTCAAATGGCATATAAAGACAATCTATTGCTCTGATATCTTGTGCCATGTGCCACGGTGCGGGGAATTAAAGCAATAAATTTACCTGTTTAATTATTAAAGTGATAAACACTGGGAAATCCAAGATTAACGACAACAGCACTCTTAAATGCCGAACATGGGGTATACAAGCCCTGGATCCCACACAGTCCTTCATATGCACCTTCTGTTTTTTTTTTTGTGTGTGTGTGTAAACTAGGAAAGTGAAATAATATTAAGACTATCCACCCACCTAATAGAATGCGCCAAACATATGAGTCTCTTATGAGTGGAAATATACTGTGTGTCATCAGTATCATGTGCAATGGTCTGGTAAATTAATGTGATCAATATAAGTCAGCCATCAACAAATTAAAATAAAGTCTCTGCGGCTTATGAAATAAATTACAGAGGTATAACTTTGCAATGCTTTGCAGTAGATTTTGCATTTTTATTAATATTTATGTAATAATTATCATCACAGCGTTGCCCAAGGCTCCCGGCATCCCTGTCGTGACGGAGCGCACCGCCACCAGCATAACGCTGACTTGGGACTCTGGCAATCCCGAACCGGTGTCCTACTACATCATCCAGCACAAGTCCAAATACTCGGAGGACCTGTACAAGGAGATTGATGGCGTGGCCACCACGAGGTACAGCGTGGGAGGCCTCAGCCCCTACTCTGACTACGAGTTCCGAGTGGTGGCGGTGAACAACATCGGGCGAGGGCCACCCAGCGAGAGCATCGAGGCCAAAACAGCCGAGCAGGCGCCCAGCACGGCACCGAGGCAGGTCCGAGGTCACATGATGAGCGCCACCACAGCTGTGATCCAGTGGGACGAGCCCGAGGAGGCCAACGGGCAGATCATGGGCTACCGGGTCTACTACACCATGGACTCGGCCCAGCACGTCAACCTCTGGGAGAAGCAGATTGTCCGGGGGTCGAACTTTGTCACCATCCAGGGCCTCATCCCAAACAAGACCTACTACATCAAGGTTCTGGCCTACACCTCCGTAGGCGACGGACCTCTGTCCCCAGACCTTCAAATCATCGCCAAGACAGGAGGTGGGTTCAGAAAAATGTTCCACAGTCAAACTTGGAGTGTCAGAAATATTTTTGGCTGCTACATTTCTTCTTTAGCCGCTGATCCTAATTAGTGGGTTGCAGTTGTTAACCAAGAGCTGTAAACACGTCTTCAAGCTGTCAACAGACACTTAAACGGGCTTTCTCAAGAAGGAAACAATTGCTTCATGTGAAAAAGCAAACAAAGAACCAAGAAATTCCAATGCCACTTTGATTATTTCTCATGAGAAAGTCTTTTTTTTCTAGTAATTATTAGGACAGTGTTGTTAAACTTGAGTGAAAGTGAAAAGTGAATGAACGGTGCAGTGATATAAATCTATTTTGCAATTCCAGTTCCCTCCCAACCAACCGACTTCAAAGGAGAAGCCAAGTCAGAAACCAGCATTTTACTGTCATGGGTTGCCCCGGCGCAGACGGGACAAGAAAATCAAGTCACCGGATACGAACTCATGTACAGAAAGAGAGACGACAAAGACGAGGTGAAGATTTACTGGCGTCGAACCATTTGGTTGCAGCAACTTAATTTTATTTTGTTATGATGGAAGTTTTGTCTGCCTCGTTATATTGATAATATGACTCATTAATAGGACATAGGAGGCACGTTTTTCCTTTCTCGGCATTTGTATGTATTAACCTGATGCTGGACGTTTACTATTTAAGTGTTGAGTACATACGTATGAGCAATTATTCCATTAGTAGTGCGATTATTTATCCGGTGTAGTAGGTATGAAACTATTTTTGGAGTTTCAGCAATCAGAAATAGTTCAGATTCTATGAGGAGTTTGAAATTTAAGGTATTATAAGTAATATTTTTTAACATTTCTGACTTTGACCAGACACTACCTTCAAAGTAAGAGTGTCATATTTACATTTAATTTGTTTATCACACTAAATTATTACAAAACTTCTGTCATACACGAATATCTCACTTCATTTCTGACATTTTTCTCCAGCTGAGAAGACAGTTTCCTCATCTTCATGCATTCTCACAAACCTCCCTGTTTTTATATGAAAAAAAAAAGTGACACCAACAATCTTTCCTCTCCGCAGAAACGAATCAGCTTCGAGCCGACAACCACATACCTGCTGAAGGACTTGAAGCCCTTCACTACTTATACTTTTCGGCTGGCTGCTCGTAGTAAACACGGAGTCGGAGCTTACACCAGCGAGATCTCTGCAGAGACTCCACAGACACGTAGGTCTTCTTCCTTATCTGACAGAGTTTATATTATTTGGGAAGTAAGTCATTTTCAAATGCATTCTGAAAACATTTTTTTAACGTGTGCTGCAAAAATCTAAAAAGTGACAGAAATGTCAGGAAGGTCCTACCCAGCACTGATAACGTAAATGCAGTTTTTTTTTTTTAAACTTTAAATGGCTGATGCATTTGAAAATAGCAAAGATGTAAACATTGAAAACAGTAAATGAGTGTCATGAAGGCTACCTGACCATGCAGTACTCACTTTGAAAAGGTTGCATGGACAGTGTACCTGGGCTTTCCTGTAAAGTCGGGAGACAAGGTTTTTAAAAAATAAAATAAAATCACTCTCAGCCTTTGTTGTGCAAAACCGGGCTTTTCTTAAATGAATGATAAAGTGTTGAATTATTCATACGGACGCCCATATCTGTGTCTGTGTTTTTTTTTTATGAATGAAAGGGCACGGCTGGCCTTTAGGAAGCCTTGTCTCTTGGCATTGCATGTCAGCCGGAAATAAGAGAACACAAAAGTTTCGAGACTGAGCTTTCTATGTTTGCAAGAACCAATTCCTCGAACGTCAAACGGGGACTTTCCCGTTTTTCCTCAACCGCTCAATTCAAATTAGAAATCAAGTTTTTGGAGTTACGATATCATAGAAAGCTCAAAGCAAGTGCTGTCTTTGTAGTTAGGGAGATTTCCACCCAAAGGCCTCAGATTTATGGAACAAGGCAAAATTGGGAAAAACAATTGGATGATGTTGTTTGTGAGAAAATTAAGCGAAATCCAGCGCAGTCTCAGTAAAAAAAAAGACAACCACGAGCTGCTGCACTTGACTTTGCACGTCCGACATAAATCTGAGGGCTCTGAAAGACAAGGGCAGAGACCAGGTGGGTATCAAACCTCAGAAACTCCAAACTCTGCCCAGAAGCACTTTCTGAGGTAAATGATGAAATGAACACACGAGTGCATGCCAATGTTCTCAGACTCTAATAAATCAGTCATGTCTCCTTGGGAAGTTCTCTGTTGTACAATCAGGCTTTTACCACAAACCAACAGGCTTCGGAAAGGTTGGTGACAAATACAACATTTTTTTTCTATTTTAAACTAGCCACAGCATCAACCTTTATGTTTTTGGATTGATGGTAACTGCTTGCCAAATTTGTCTCAGTACGTTTATTTTTGGAATGGTTTATCTTCAGTGAAGAGTCCTTTGAAATAGGCTGAGGTTTTATTTAAGAATTAAGGGATCTAAGAAGTAGTGCTCTAGGATGTGTGATTTTTTTTTTTTTGTTTTCCTTTGTTTTTTATAATTTATTTTTTCATGACAAAGGTAGGTCACATACGGTAAAGCTGTCCCTTTTTTTTCCAAATCAACACCTCCCATTCATCATAAGTGTGCACACTTTTGTGTTTGTCTTTTGGTTTCATCTTTATTTGTGATGTTTCACGGATTTTTAATCCTTTTTTTTTTTGGTTTACCCATAAGTCATTGTGCTTGTTCCTCATTTGTGTCATTTTATTTCCCCTTTTCTTTTTCCTTGGTTTGATCAATTCTACCATCATCACCCCAATCGAAACTGAAACTTCTTTCAAAAACAAAAAAACAAATCCAACTCAATGAATGGCCTCAACCAACAACAACAACAACAAAAAACACAAACCTGCACTTGCTCCAAATCCGACCCACCAACCAGAACCCTCGGGCCCGCCTCAAGACGTCAAGTGCTATAGCCCCAGCTCCACCAACATCCTGGTAAGTTGGCGGGCGCCCCCAGTGGAATTACAAAACGGGATCATAACGCAATACACCATCCAGTACGCCGCGACCGAAGGGGAGGACACTGCCGCTCGCCAAATCTCCAGCGTCCCTCCGGAAAGCTCCGAGTACCTTCTGGAAAACTTGGAAAAATGGACAGAGTACCGCGTGACGGTCACTGCTCATACAGATGTTGGAGCAGGACCGGAGAGCCTGCCACAGCTCATCCGCACAGAGGAGGATGGTATGTGTTCGCTCAAAACAAAAGCTCCAGCTGCAAATCCAGTCTACACCCCCCTCTCTTAACCCACCCCAACAAAATACTAACCACCTATCTACAACTCCCTCTTCTTTTCTACCCTCTCTGCCTGCTTCTAATATGACTGTCAGCGCCTCTTTTAGCCCCACTTTGGACAATTTTTTTTTCCTTTCTTTACCTACAAAACTGCGACTCATTTTTTGGGGATGTTTTTTTTCACGCTGCTCAATTTCAACACATGGTATGGCATTTTCAGCTGCAGGCCTCCAACTTCCCGTCCCAACTGTCATTTTTGAAACTGAAACTGCTTTTTTTTTT